TGATGCAACAAATGTTCAAATGTGCTTGATCCAATGGACGTATGCATGGATTGTGATAAGAGCTGTAAGAGTCCCCAATAAAATTATTCTAAAAAACCACAAAACACAGAAGGGGCAAGGCGGGTCCCAAAGATTCAACAGTCGTGACACAGGAACCACATGCTAAGAAGCACAGAACGCTCTGAAGTCCTCTCTGCCCCTCGGTCAACCAGCATGACACACCCAGCTGAAAACTGCCCCAGGTGTGGGGGCAGACTTTCGCTCCTTACAAAACTTTATGTGCACTCTGAACATAAACACACACGGGTGTGAAAAGGGCATGCATTCTTCCCAGGGAGTCTAAACCTTGGTTTCCTCAGTACCTCTGGGCTTGTGGTGCTCCCGTTAGTGCAAGGTACTTTGCCAAATGCCCCGGAAGCACAGTGCTGCTTTGATGAACTCCCCACACTTCATGCTGTCTGCTGGTCATCCGGGCACGGGGATTTCTCTTCAGCACCCTGTTTACCTGCCTCGGCCCAGCAGATGGGAAAGTGGAGGCAGGGAGGGGGCTGTGCATGCCAAGCACGACCAGGCGCTTACCTGGGGCCTGTGCACCCTGGCAGTGTCCACTTACATCTCGTTCAGGCAGATCTGAGAAAGTGGGACAAGGGGTGACGCTCATGGATGTGATTCGTCAAGCCTCACCTGTCATGACGCTGTGGAGTCCATGCAGCGCGGCACCTACGTTGGCGAACACGGAGCTGTAGTTTGCCCGGAGGAGTCCGTCGGGCTGCGTGCCTAGGAAAGCAAAAGCACAAAGTGCACATTTTCCCAGGAGACGGCTGACCCCCCCATCCCCACCCCCACCCTGGCCCGGCAACTCCGTCCTTTCAGGGGAAGACAGGTTGGACCCAGGGAACAGGGCGGCTCTGAGAACCTCTACAGACACCTTCTGAGAGAACAGGGACACACAGGCACGCATCCAACGTGGGCTTGACTCCGCCATGCAGAGATTTAATGGTTAAGAATCTAAATGAAATTGCTTAGCAGGATGATGTCTTTCATTATCCCGTTTAAAATGGAAGTCTTTGACATTTCACACTAAATGTATAACATAGTTCTCAATTTATTCCTTACTATACTCTGGAAAGCATGAAAAGCACTGCTATTTAAAGATCAGAGTTCCACTTCTGCCACAAAATCTTATGGAGAACCAGACACACCCCATAGTAAAGCTAATATATAAAGTATTAAACAAGCCCAACAAAGCAAAACACGTTTTAAAATCTCTGGGAATGATCTAAAGTACACAAAGCATATTAAAAATATTTATTCAAGAACAAACTATTAAAAGTAGGTAAGCAAAATACACATGTGTTGTTGGAACCCCAACACTCGTCCTCCCTTCCCATTCCAGCTCACTGAGATGGACACTCCACACCAGATGGCACAGCCAAGGCCACGGGGCAAGTGTGGCCGGGAGCTGCGTCTCCCTTCTGTGGCCCAACTCCCACTGTGGGCGGACACTCAGTGCCACTGAGAGCTCCACTCAGGTGGCACTCGTGAGGTGAGGGTTCCACGCCAAGTTCGCCAGGCCACGAAGACCTGCGGCGAATGTCTCTGCCCCCATTAAGTGCCCAGCTCCTAAAGCGGCCGTGTGGCGCACAAGAAGCCCACCATGAACATGGCCACCAGGCAAACCCCACAGCTGTGGGTATGACATTCTGCTCAGGGGAGAAGGGCTTGGAACAGGAAACTCCAAACATTTCCAAGGATCCCTGTTGGTATGTCATGAAAACGAAACACAATGAGGCTTGCACTGTACAAAGGCAGGACTGGCCCTTGACCACTCCTGGGAGAGAACCTCTGAGCCCTTGGAACATTCTGCTGGATCAGAGTCTCTTTGTACACTGCAGCGTGGGCCATGCCAGATGATTTATGCCAACAATGTGACTTGTGATGGGGGCCTTCGGCCATGCTGTACCAGTCTGACCTTTGGGGGGGGGGGGGACTAGAGACTGAGGGACTAAGTTCCGTCACAGAGGTGTTCCCTGTGCACATGACTGGCCCCACTAAAGACCCTGGACATCAATTGTGGGAAACTGAGAACCGGGAAGAGAATGCATGCAGGCCAATCCTTCACGCTCATATTTTAAGGAGTCTAGGAGGTCTAGACTCTCGTGGAGGGAGCCTTTCACATCGTTGGAGGTGAATCCTAGTCACGTTCTCTTAACTAAAGTTGTTCCCCACAATGTCCCGCATAATAATGCTAATTTTAAGATGCTGCTTGTAAGCCATGGTTGCTACTATACACTTGAAGGTTAACTGCCTGAAGGTTATCTGCCCGAACTCATCTGCCATCAGACTACCCCACTAAAAGTATGGCCCATCCCTTCTGATAAGGACCACAGATTGCTCCCCTGGAGGACAGCTCAGGGACAACCAAGGCTAAGCTGCCATTTTAACTCTAGAACCCGCCCCTCTTGTTGTGTATGTACCTTCTGTTACATGTATGCCTCTAGCATATCCCCTTCCTGTTACATATGTGTATCACGTGGCTGGCATGCCCGAGATTATATAGGCCCATGAGAGAACACATTCGCGCTCTCTCTTGATCCTGCCATCCAAAGAGGCGAGCCCTTGCATGCCTTGTCTGATGCTTCTTAAATTTACCCTTCAATTACACCCCACCCCCCCCCAGGACCTATTCTCTTGTGGAGGCTGGTCCCCCACAATCAATGCTCAGTTGAGTTTCCTTAGCTGGTAAGCCTTTGTATATGGAGTCACACACTCTTGCTGGAAGAATCAAGCACTGTCTGTGTGACTCCACTAAGAGAGGACTATGGGAAGTCTGTCTGCTCTTTCCTAGACTCCGACCTGTGCACTTTTCCTTTTGCTCACTGGAACAATTCGTATTCGTTGCACTACATAACAGCTCTTCTGAGCTCTAAGAGTTCTTCCAGCAAATCACCAAATATTAGGAATCTGCAACACAAAGTGATTCACTTGCAACGGAGTACGGGTGAGCTTAATGCAGAACACGTTCCCGCAGACTAAGGGAGTGTGGTGGGAAATAATTAAAAGAAGAGGATCAGATTCATTATAAATTTAAGCTAGACTCCAGGCCAGATAGTTCACCAGATAGAACCAGGAAAGAGGATCCCCTCCTGGGATCAGAACAGAGAGTTCCAACATTGATCTTAAAAATGATTCCTTCAAAAAGGCAGCCTGGTAGTTACTAAGTGGTTAATAAAGAACTGACCATATGAGCCAGTGTCATAGAGGTAATTCTTTGGCATGGCTCTTCTCCTCATAGTCTTTCGAACTTCCACAAACTGGCGGGGTAGGTCTGTGAGCTGCTTGTGGCCATGACAACTGATTATTGACTGTACCGGAGAAGAGGCGTGCCACGGGAGAGACGGCTGATGTGCGACCAGGGTAAAGAAGGAAGGTGTGACGGCATGGATGTCTGACCTCCCCCTCCTAGAATTCATGTTGGCAGATAGGAGTTGGATTCTCCTTCCCCTTTTGTAGCCAGAGATGGGCCCCCGGCCCTTTCCTCACCCATGATTCCATTCGTGGGTACAGAAAACTTACACCCATACAGAAATTGTACTGGAATATCCACAGCAGCATTATTCTTACGAACCAAACGTTTTGAAATAATGAAAACATTTTAAAAATGTGCTGTGTATCTACACTATGAAATATTTTTTAGTCAAAAAGAAAGGAAGTTATGACACATGTTCCCACATGATGAACCTTGAAACATTACGCTAAGGACAAAAGACTAGTCTGTGATACAATTTATATGAAATAGGCAAGTCCTTAAACCCAGAAAGTTAACTAGGGGCTAAAAAAATAAGAAGATGGGAGTAGTATGGGCAGGCTTTAGAAAGTTCATAGAAAAGTTCCAATTTTTTTTAATTCTAATTTTCCACAAGCTTTTGAAGCCCCCTAATATCTATAAAGGATATGGGGTTTCTTTGGGGGGTGATGAAATATTGTAAAATTGACTGTGGTGACGGCTGTACAGATCTCTGAATATACACAGACTGACCACTGAATGGTTCACTCTTAATAGGTGAACTGATGGTTTATGAATTATATCACAATAAACCTATCGTAAGACAAAGCAAAGCCCAGGTAGGATAATAGTTATGCATTGGGCTGCTAATGTCAAGGTTCACAGTTTGAAACCACCATCCACATCATGGGAGAAGGATGGGGCTTTCTATTCCCATAAAGAGTTACAATCTTGGAAATTCACCAGGCAGTTCTATCCTGTCCTGTAGAGTCACTGTGAGTCAGCATGGACTTAATGACCGTGTATGAGAGAGAGAGAGAGAGAGAAGAAAAAATAAAATAAAGTAAAACAAAATCACCACAGTACCAGGAGAGACAGTGGCATTCTTCTGAGCCTCATTGAAACAGAGTCATTCACTTATTTGAAAATGCCTCTTTTAAAACTAGGCCAGAGGGAAAAGCATATTTTTACTGCTAAAGTTTCCCTGTGCTCCTTGCTGAAGAGCTGACGCCAAGGCTTACAACTTGCCCTTCTCCATTTAAGAGGAAGAACAGAAAGGGAGTTGCTACTATTCAGGGCGTGTCCTCCCTGCCATCCATTTCCCATTCTTTTGTGAATGTAATAACTACACATTTACCTCTATTTTACAAATGGGGGTTGAATAGTACAAAGAGGTGAAGTGATTTGCCCAAGGTCAGTAAGTGCATGAGGGCTGGAGAATCTGAATGTGAGGTTTCCGAACTTGAGATCCCAGGCTCATTCCCACTGACCAAGTTGAACACTCCTCCTTTTCCAGCGTCTTATATTCTAAATCCTCAGGCTGAACCCCGGAGGCAAAGCATACTTACTTGGCAAGGCAAGAAGAGCAACGTACGTCTGGAGCTTCTCAAACACCGCTGTCATCTTCTTCATATCCTGAGACAGCTCCAGGTTCCGGGCTCGTAACGCAGGCGTGCAAAGAGAAGACTCACATTCTTCTTCTAAACTAGTGATGGGCAAATTGTTTAAAAGTGTGAGCAGTCTGGAAGGGTTCCAATTTGCTATAATGAGACATTTAAATTCTTAACAGTTTTGTACATACAAAGGCCTTGCAGAAAAAGGAATATGAACTATGTATCAGGGGCTCTTTTTTTTTAACATGATAAAACATATGCAACTGCTTCCTGAAAGCTTGCAAATGTCAAAGGAGTAACAGAACTACGTGATGCAAAGATAAACGCATCCTGAAAGCAAGCGAGGTTTTCCTTAAAGCCCTGTCAGGAGGAAAACAGCAAGCCTGAATTTTACAGGCACTTCCTCACAATGGAACTGCCCGGACACTAGCAGTGAGAATCATTAAAGTACCCGTACTTCCAAACGTCAACGAGATTTTAAACTTTCCTGTAGCCTGAAGTTTAACGACAAATGTTTCACATTCATTTTACCATTTCAAGTTTTAAAATATTTACTTTGTAAAACTTAATTAGGAGGTTAAAAACATTATGAAGACTGTGGTCAACGTTTATTTTTAAAATTGCAGATAATGAAGAAAAACACATTTTCCACAAGGCTAGAAAAGCTAGCAGAGGACTCGTCATCCCTCCGTTCCCTCTGCCTTTCCTGTCTATTCACCGCCTATAACAGGTGTCCACACTAAGGCCATCTCCGCTGAAAGGACAAGTCTGTCATCTAAGTGGTATTTAAAAGGATGCCCCAAATTGTCTGAAAACAAGGGAGGGCTCAAATTGTATGGGGAAGGGCGCTCTTAAAATAGGAACCCTATGTCAAGAAAGGACTTACACCGAGTATTTCTAAGAAGCAAAGTGAAAAGATAAAGATAAACGAGCATACAAAAACTATCAAGGAACACCTTTTTAATGGTTCTTAAGCAGATTCTTTTTAAACATAGGCCAAATCAATATGATTTATTCTATCTTAGCATAATTTAAACATCTGAATTTACTCTATCTTAGCAAAAAAATTCTGAAGGCAAATTTTAAAAATTCTAACCCTAAGCCATATTTGTGTATCTGAATAAATTATAAATCACAATTATTAGTTTAAATCATAATGCCCTGATTCCCATAGGTATAGATCATAAGTTAGTAAAACTACATTGCCAGGTTATAATGAGAAAACATGGTAGTTCTTAATAACAATTTAATTTTTTAATAATAATAAAATTTTGTTTGTCATGAAAAGCGAAAACTGTATTTTACTGATAAAATTAACGGCTAACTATAACTACTTATATAACTTCCTTATTAGTAACTTATTAATCTGAACATTTTCTAACCCGATTTTGCAATATATTAAATATGTTTTTAATATTCTTGTAAAGCCAGTTTTATTCTTTAATAACTTAAAAAGAACATCATCTTAGGATGAAAAGATTTAGAAGAATTAAGTTTCTTGGTAAAAATTACCAAATTAGGCCAAAAGCATCAGTAACCTATAAACAGTATTATCCCCTTCAGGTTGCACATGCTATTTTCTCTCTCTTTCCAAAAATATTAAACCTGGTCAGTGAGGTTGAAAAATGAGATATTCTATATAGGCTCCAGGAAACGACGTTTTTAGCTTCTAAGCCCCCAAGCATAAAAACAATAAACCCTTTCAAAGAAACCTCAGGATGAGAGAACTGGATTTAGACCTGAACTACTGTAGCCCCCATCTAGATGATTCCAGCAAAGGGATAATAAAAACCCCAAGCTGAAGTATTTCTTTTAATAAACGCATCGCTCACAGTCACTGAAAATACAGCACATAGCCTTAGGTGGGGGCAGCAGTAACCACAGTGCAGGTGACTGCAAAAAGCCCACGTGGCCAGCCTGCAACTCAATTTTCTTAAACATACGGCTCAAGCCATGATTTTCCTTCTTCATGAGCCCAAATCCATGGTGGTGCAGAAATGTCAGCCAGATCCCAGGAGGCACATATTACTACTTTACTGACTGCAGAGCAGGAAGGCTGGCACCCACAATTCCCAGGCTCACTGGTCTCACGTGCTAAGTACCTTTTTAACTGATAAGGAAGAATCTTTCTAAGAAAACACAGGTAGGAGGTTAAATGTTCTGAAAAAGTTTTCAATTTCACAGTTGTCTCCTGGAAAAGAAAAACAATTTCAAGGTTACTGGTGTTATTTGACCAGGAGGAGCTCCCGCGACCAGAAACAGGAAGAAGACAATTACCAGGACGGTTACAGTCTCCTCAGTAATGCTTTCAAATAAGTGCAGCATTCCTTCCTCTAGAGGGCGGACGTAGGACGCATTCTCGTGAAGGTACTGGGAGAACTGGAGGAGGGAAGCAACTGTGCGTCAAGTCAAGTCAATGCCGAATACAACCACTCTGCAGACCTTTGTAACTCGGTCCGCTAAGTTATAAACCTGAACTCGTCCAGAAACCTGTTTGGATTTCTGAAACCCAAACGGGAGATGATGCCCTCTTTAAGGTGACCAGACGTCCCGCTTTGGGCGGGACAGTCTCGATTTTTAGCAATTTGTCCCGTGGGACTGATTTTTGGAAAGAATGCACAAGCTAGGGAATGGCGGGAGAACGGAAAAGGACTATACGGTTTCGGCTGTCATGTGGCTATTTCGTCAGGATATGGGTTTTATATTATTTTTGTTAATTTTATGTTAAACTTTAATAATAACAAATAATTGTTGAGAACCGATTATCGAGAACTGCTTATCAAAGTTCGCATTGTTGATCAGTTAGAATTCGACCACCGTTGTTTGGACTTAAGGAACAATGGCATTTTTTGGCATTGGCAATGATGAGAACATTTTGTAATTGTCTCTAAGACGATACACATCGCACTGCGTGCTAGTTCTAGTTAAACAAGTGATATCAACAAATCAGCTATTCAGATAATTTAGGTAAGTAATTTTTTTTGTAAGTAATGTATTTATTTCATAAATACACATTTTCTTGAATTTAGCAGACAGTACTCGTATGCCAAAGAATAAAATAATACTGTACATAATTTTAATGTATTATGTTTGTAAATTGTACTCATGTTGAAAATTTAAAATATATATTATAATATTATTTTTTGCG